CCCCCCCTCCTCTCACCAACCCCCCCCCAGATCCTAAAGGCTGTGGGGCTCTGGGATGTGCTGGGACAGGGGTGGGACACGGCGATATCTGGGGCTCGTTTCTGCTCCGAGGGAGGGCCGAGGGTCACGAGGAGCCCGGCGAGGCCTTGGCACGGCCGGGGAGGGCTGGTGGGGAAGCCAACGAGCCACGGTAGCCAGCGGTGCCGGGCAGCTTGCCCTCTCCTCTCCCCACACCCAGCTCTGAGACGTTCTGGTTTTATTCCCTATTTTTCGGGGCAACCTTAGGCCGGAGACTTTCCTGCCGCGCGCAGGGACGAACCCCGCAGCCCTCGAGCCGCTGGCGGAGCCAGGAGTCTCCAAACCTCCTAACGGTTTGGTTTTGAGCCATTTTGGATGCCGGGGGGGGCGGGGGGGGCAAGTTGCCTCCTCTTGGAGGCCGGGGATGTGATGGCTCAGCGCTGCGGGGAAAAACTGGGAAAGAGAGAACCCGAAGGGGAGGAGAAGGAACCGGGAGGGGAAGAGGCTCACGTGGCTTCCCGGGGCACCAGCCAGAGCCTCCGTCCACCATGAGAGCTGCCTCCAGGTCCCTCATGTCACCAGGGGACACACCGGTCCCTTGGGTGGTGACAGGCAGGTGGCAAACCCCCTCCTGCGTTTTCGGATGGGGTGGGTGCTCCGGTTGGTGGAGAGGACGGCCAGTATGGGATCCCCTGCTTGATGCTGGTCTCCTCCCCTGCTCCCCAGCACTCTCTCAGCCTTTTCTTCTATTTTTTTTCCCCCAGCTCGGGCTGCTCGTCCTGAAAGAGAAGACTCCTCCGTGAAAACACCACCCAGGGCTGTGCTTGCTTCTGCTTTCTCCCCTGGGGGGGCTTTGTTTGTGCCAAGGATGCTCTGCCCACTGCTTGTCCTGGGAGCACTGGTGCTCAGCCTGGCAGGTGAGTGGGGCTGCTGGTGGGGGTGGTGGTTTGGGGTTGTCACCACCCCCAAGGAGATGTCCTGGAATAAGAAGGACATGGACCTGATGGAGAGGGTCCAGAGGAGGGCCACAAGGATGCTCAGGGGGATGGAGCACCTCTGCTCCGAGGACAGGCTGAGGGAGCTGGGGTTGTTCAGCCTGGAGAAGAGGAGGCTCCGGGGAGACCTAATAGCAGCCTTCCAGTACCTGAAGGGAGCCTACAGGAAGGCTGGGGAGAGCCTGTTTAGAAAGGCCTGCAGTGACAGGACGAGGGGCAATGGCTTCAAGCTGGAGGGGAACAGATTTAGACTGGAGATGAGGAGAGGGTTCTTCACTGGGAGGGTGGTGGAGCACTGGAACAGGTTGCCCAGGGAGGTGGTTGAGGCCCCTTCCCTGGAGATATTCAAGGAGAGGCTCGACGAGGCCCTGGGCAACCTGGTCTAGTTGGGGGTGTCCCTGCTGACTGCGGGGGGGTCAGACTAGATGACCTTTGGAGGTCCCTTCTGGCCTGGGCAATTCTATGACTCTATGAATGCCACGTTCATCCCCACCACCCTGCCTTTGAGCTGTGGGTCCTGGAGGTAGCGCCCACAAGGTACCCTGCCTTTGAGCTGTGGGTCCCGGAGGTAGCGCCCATGAGATGTTTCTCCTGGTCTCGTGGTCCTCCCGTTGCCCAGAGCATCACCCCCTACCCAGGGTGTGGTGGCCCCTGGCACATGTGGGCCACCCCTCGTAGCAGAGGGCCACCACCTCCCGTGCGCTACAGCTGGGATGACCAAATCTTGAAGGTTTCGGACTTCACCTGGCTCTGTCCCCATGCGCTGCAGCTCCTGCCCTGGCCAAACATGGGAGAGACGTCGGGACTGAATCCTTTTGGGATGCTCCGCAGCAATTCTGGCCAGGCTGGGTCATGTTCCTCAAACCCGCTGGCATTTATTATTAGCTGGAGGGAGACGTGAGGCTCTGGAGGCTGCCAAGAGGCAGGCGGGCTGCCCGAGCCCTCTTCTCCTGCCTGTCTGCCCGTCTGCAGTCCCTGGCAGGGCTCCTTCCTCATCCTCCTCACTCGGGTTCTTGCTTAAAATTGTCCCTCTCGTTGCTCCCCTTGTCCCCAGGGGTGGGGTGGCCATGGGTCACGGCTTCTCTGCGCTCTGCAGCAGTGTTGAGGTTGGAATATAAAGCCTGTCTTTGCTCCAAGGTGGGATTTTTCCCCATCCCCCACCTTTTTCCACCCCATTTTGGGGCTGGTGAATGAACCCTGGGGTCTGCTCTGGGGGGGACCCTGGTCTCGTGGTCCTCCCGTTGCCCAGAGCGTCACCCCCTACCTGGGGTGTGGTGGCCCCAGGCACACATGGGCCACCCCTCATAGCAGAGGGCCACCACCTCCCGTGCGCTACAGCTGGGATGACCAAATCTTGAAGGTTTCGGACTTCACCTGGCTCTGTCCCCATGCGCTGCAGCTCCTGCCCTGGCCAAACATGGGAGAGACGTCGGGACTGAATCCTTTTGGGATGCTCCGCAGCAATTCTGGCCAGGCTGGGTCATGTTCCTCAAACCCGCTGGCATTTATTATTAGCTGGAGGGAGACGTGAGGCTCTGGAGGCTGCCAAGAGGCAGGCGGGCTGCCCGAGCCCTCTTCTCCTGCCTGTCTGCCCGTCTGCAGTCCCTGGCAGGGCTCCTTCCTCATCCTCCTCACTCGGGTTCTTGCTTAAAATTGTCCCTCTCGTTGCTCCCCTTGTCCCCAGGGGTGGGGTGGCCATGGGTCACGGCTTCTCTGTGCTCTGCAGCGGTGTTGAGGTCGGAATATAAAGCCTGTCCTTGCTCCAAGGTGGGATTTTTCCCCATCCCCCACCTTTTTCCACCCCATTTTGGGGCTGGTGAATGAACCCTGGGGTCTGCTCTGGGGGGGACCTGGCTGCTCGCTGCCAACGGGGACCCCAGGACCGGCGCTGAGCCTGGAGGGTCTGGTAGCCCTGGCAAGGGTTGGTGTCGCTCCCCGACGCGGTGGCAGGGTTGGCAGTGTGTGGGTGGCTTGGGGATGGGGTGGGCATCTTGCCATGGCACTGGGACAGGGTTGGCATCATCCTGCCGTGGCACGCCGGTTGGCATGGCGCTGAAGCACTGGTGCCATCTAGTGCCTGCCAGCCCGGAGCTGGCTGGTCTTGGGAACATGGGATTGTCCCTCACCCCCACTGCTGTCACCCCCGTTTCATGCTGGGGTGGAGGTTTGGGTGCCTGTGGCCACAGCTGGTAGCTGAGGGCAATGACACCCCAGGTTTGGTGCTGGATGTGGGGCTGTCTCCCTGCTGGGAGGGTGGGCTTGGCTGGGGGGACGGTGATGGGGATGGTCTTGAGATGCCACCTGCCCACGGGTCCCTCCCATGGGCATCCCTTGACTTGTTTAGATGTTACCCAGATAAAGAATTAAGGAGCTGCTTCTGCAGGGTCTCACCACCCTCTGCTTTTGCCCTCACCACCCTCCCGCAGGTGCCATGGAGATCCAGGTCCCAGATGAGCCCGTGGTGCTGGATGTGGGGCTGTCTTCCTGCTGGCAGGGTGGGCTCGGCTGGGGGGACGGTGACGGGGATGATCTTGAGATGCCACCTGCCCACGGGTCCCTCCCATGGGCATCCCTTGACTTGCTTAGATGTTACCTGGATAAAGAATTAAAGAGCTGCTTCTGCAGGGTCTCACCACCATCTGCTTTTGCCCTCGCCACCCTCCCGCAGGTGCCATGGAGATCCAGGTCCCAGATGAGCCCGTGGTGCTGGATGTGGGGCTGTCTTCCTGCTGGCAGGGTGGGCTCGGCTGGGGGGACGGTGACGGGGATGATCTTGAGATGCCACCTGCCCACGGGTCCCTCCCATGGGCATCCCTTGACTTGTTTAGATGTTACCCGGATAAAGAATTAAGGAGCTGCTTCTACAGGGTCTCACCACCGTCTTCTTTTGCCCTCACCACCCTCCCGCAGGTGCCATGGAGATCCAGGTCCCAGATGAGCCCGTGGTGGCTCTTTTCGGCCGAGATGCCACCCTGCGCTGCTCCTTCTCTCCCGAGGCCAACTTCAGCCTCGCCGACCTGAGCCTCATCTGGCAGCTGACGGACACCAAGCGCTTGGTCCACAGCTTCTCTGATGGCCAGGACCAGCTGGCAGACCAGGTCGGGAGCTACGCCAACCGTACGGCCCTCTTCTACGACCAGCTGGCCCAGGGCAACGTCTCGCTGCTCCTCCGACGCGTGGAGATCTCGGATGAGGGCAGCTTCACCTGCTTCGTCCGGGTCCGGGACTACAGCAGGGCAGCGGTGACATTGCAGGTGGCAGGTGAGAGATGGAGAGTTGGGGTGTCCCTATGTGTCTCCCCGAAGAGAAGGGAGACGTGCCTTGCTCCTCTGTGAAGCCTCTCTCTCTCTCCACTGTTGCCATGGTCTTCCCATGAAGTTGGGTCTCTGTTAGAGACCAACCAGCTGCATCTCCCCAAAATGTTGCTGATGGGGGGTGTAGGCCCTTCCCTGCCACCGTGGAGAGACTCTTAGTTGAGAGGCCACCTGGAAGCATGGCCATAAATGAACCAAAGCTGGGAAAGCTTCAGCTGGTTGGTCTTATCAGCTGGAAGAGTCTGTCCTGGGGCTTGCCCAACCTCATTGGTTTGCTCCAGATCCTGATCCTTTGGTCTTCTCCATCACCTCATGCCGACTGTTCTCTCCCTTGCAGCTCCGTACTCCAAGCCCAATATGAACCTGGAGCCCAACAAGGACTTGAAGCCAGGAGATCTGGCTGTTGTGAGTTGTCACTCTTCCCGTGGCTACCCCGAGGCCAGCGTCCTCTGGCAGGACAGCCGGGGCAGCAACATCACGGAAAACGTCACCACATCCCAGGTGGCCAACGAGGAAGGCCTTTTTGACGTGCACAGTGTCCTCCAGGTGCTGGTAGAGCCCAGCATCACCTACTTCTGCCTGGTGCGAAACCCGGTGCTGCAGCAGGAGACCCAGGCCTCCGTCACCATCACGGGTGAGCCAGTGAGAGCCAAAACTGGGGGAAGGAAGGGATGGGCTCTGTCTGAAGAAGATGACCATGGTGGCACTGGGATCCTTGCTTGGACCTACAAGGGTGACTTGAGGCCGTGCTGTCCTCCCCATCGTCCCACGTCAGTGTCCCAGTAGAACCAGTGTCCCTATATCTTCGTCTCTAGCTTTGCTAGTTGCCACGTCAGTGTCCCAGTAGAACCAGTGTCCTTAGATCTTAGTCTCTAGCTTTGCTTTGTCCCCGTCCCAGTCGAAACCACCCCAGAAAGCCAGCATGGGGCACGGTAGTTGTCTTCTCCTTAGCACGTGGCCATGGGATGCTCTCAGTCTGGGGATCTCCATCCCTGCTGTGACAATCCTGCTTCAGAAGCACAGGCTGGAGGAGTTCATGGAGCACGTTCAGCCTCGCTGCTTCACTCTGAGCTTCTCCCGCTGCCCTCGTGCGCTCCCCAGTAGCATTAATTAATGTTTAATCACCCTTGATGTGGCACTTGATGGGTTGGGAAGGTGGGTCCTTGGTGGAACATAAACTTTTGGGCTGGATGCACCAAAAACTCGTGTGGGTGCTGCTGGCTGGGAGCAGAGGGGTGGCTTTCGCCTGGGCTTCCACGTGCAAGAGCAAGTTTTCAGCCTTGGGGTGACATCAGTAGAGGTTTGGGACAAGACTTTGTTTGGAGGAGGAGGAGCAATATTACAGGGGAAAATCAGATTTCCAGCTCTCCAGGAGATACCCCACAGCCCCCAGTGGTCCCTACGGGGCCATCCTGGACCCCAGGGCAGATGTCCCCATCCACCCCAGCCCCATGGGGTGAGATGAGAGGGGAAAGGGACCGAGTGCTGCAGCATCTAATGCTTCTCTTGAGCTTCTTAGCGAGTGAAGGGCCAGCAATTTATTAGTGCAATTAAAAATTAATGAAGCATTTTAGGGAGTGACTCAACCTGCTGCTTCCCCGGCCGGATCCAGACCTTCTAGGGGAGGCCATAATTAGGGGCACCGATGGTTTTATTTCCAAAACCCACCCTTTGTGCCACCGACTCCCTCCATGGGGATGTTCCTTTGCCACCGTGGGGTCCCGAATGCTGGACACGTGTCCCTCTGGTCGGGCTGTGGTGCTCACCATGGTGGTGTTTCTCTTCCCCCCCCTCCTCTGTGTAAGGCCAACACCTGGGCTTCCCCGCCGTGGCTCTCTGGGTGACGGTGGGACTCGCTGTCTGCGTCGTGGGGCTCCTTGCTGTCCTGGTGTACGTGTGCCAGAAGAAAATCCGTGAGAGCCTTGAGGAAGAGGAGGAAAACGCAGGGAACACGGCAGGTAACCCCCCAAAAAGGGATGGGGTTTGCAGGGATGGATGGATGGATGGATGGATGGGGCAACGGGTTGGCTTTGGTGGTGGCACCTTCTAAAAGGTGAAGGGATGCTCGGAGCTTCTGGGGTTGGTGGGCACCACCAGATCCGTGCTGGAGAGCCCATGCCGGCTGTGGGCATCGCTCTGGGCAGCTCTTGAAAAAATACTCTTGATTTTCCTCCCACCCAGCATGTCTCCCCCTTTCACCTCCCTGCTCCAAGCATCCTCTGCCTGTGGTACCCACAGCGGGGTGCGTGCAGGGCATCTCCTCCAGGAAGGTCATAAAATCATAGAATTGCCCAGGCCGGAAGGGACCTCCAAAGGCCATCTAGTCCGACCTCCTCGCAGTCAGCAGGGACACCCCCAACTAGACCAGGTTGCCCAGGGCCTCGTCGAGCCTCTCCTTGAATATCTCCAGGGAAGGGGCCTCAACCACCTCCCTGGGCAACCTGTTCCAGTGCTCCACCACCCTCACAGTGAAGAACCCTCTCCTCATCTCCAGTCTAAATCTGTTCCCCTCCAGCTTGAAGCCATTGCCCCTCGTCCTGTCACTGCAGGCCTTTCTAAACAGGTTCTCCCCAGCCTTCCTGTAGGCCCCCTTCAGGTGCTGGAAGGCTGCTATAAGGTGCTCCAGAGGTGCTCCATCCCCCTGATCATCCTTGTGGCCCTCCTCTGGACCCTCTCCATTAGGTCCATGTCCTTCTTATACTGAGGGCTCCAGACCTGCACACAATACTCCAGGTGAGGTCTCACCAGAGCAGAGTAAAGTGGCAGAATCCCCTCTCTGGACCTGCTGGCAACATCCTACTGACTTCAGAGTTCTGCTGTGGATCAGGTCAGCAGCCTTCAGAGCGCTTAAAGGTTGGACAACCCATCTCAGGTAAGTCTCGAGGAGGAGGGAAGAGGGTGATTTACTGCCACTTG